AAAGAGTTATTAGTTTTTTTATAACGTTTACACACAGAAATACCCACGTCTTGATAGAGGAACAGACCGCAGTCAATTACATAGGACTTCAGATATCAAACGGCTTTAAAAGTAGAATTCATATGAGCATCGTCACGCGGAAAACGGGCGAAAGTTCAAATTTAGGCTTAAAAAGGAAAAAACTCATGAAAAGAGTGCAGGAAAGCAAAGAAAACATAATACACATTACGTTTTAGATTGATTATTGGCAATGACAGTAAGTTGGACCCTTCCTAAAATCGGACGTAGAAAAACTAAAAAGAATACAAACCAGAGCGGCGCGAATAAATACTGAGGACTATAGAATCCGGGATAGAAGGATGCCTCTCGGAAATGTTTCATCATCTGATATTATACTAAAGTTACAAAACAGGAGGAAATCACACCAGTCAGTATCCATGTACTAAGGTACTATAACACACCAGAAGAACTAATGATAATAAATAGTAATAATAATAACGAAAAAACACGCTCACAAACAAAGAGTTAAGAGAGATATAAAACACCAACAACATTAAACAGAAAGATTGTCAACAACTCGCAGACATTAATTTTCCCTTAATGCAACATATTTGTCAAAACATCTCTTGAAGGGAACCACTAGCGCAGTGTGCACAGAAAAACCTAAAGAGATTTAGATTTCCAAAGAAACAACACTATAACAAGTAACATATAATTTTTTCTCTCTCTTGGTAACTTCTTTGTACCCATTTTAAATGTGTATTAAGTAAAACTGAATTATTCGCACATCAATTTTGTTTGTCAAATACACATTACTGCGTTGTATTCCGTGTTTAATAAAGACACGTGTCATAACATAATTTATTATTTTATGCAAATAGTTTATGCTATGAACACTACAGTACCTCCTTGATCAACCATTAACACATTCCAATGTCTTGTAAGTATCAGTTCTCTTGATTGAATTGAAAATCTTTCATAAGAACTGTTGGCAATACATCCCTACATCTAAATACGTTATGTTTACACGAGAGATTTAATTGTGGAAATTTTGTGTACCACTAACTTTACACTATCTTGTTTGAAATCACAGAAGAGCAATACTTGTACAGTCTATTAATGCCAACGTAAACATGCCAGGTATGGACAGCCATTGAGGAAGCCGGTGTTGTTATCATTGGCCGTAGTCTGTGTATAGACTCGAGTCAGTATCAAGGTTATTAACTGTACTATTTATACATTGTTTGGTGTGAACTTTCGGAAGTACATCGACACAGTATATGAACAAGTTATGAACAAGTACATGGCTATGTAGACGAGTTTCGGCAAGTATATTTTTAAATAAAACGATTCACAATTAAAAAATTCAGTAGACACTAACCTCTGGAACAAGTTATTGGTTACGTAGAAAAGGTTACGAATGTCTATCTTAAACTGTGCTGTTGGATGTGACAAACGGACACTACACCATTATTCCTTGTGTATACAATAACTTGCAATGGTAGACTATGTAAATTGAGAAGAATGTCCTGATCAATTTGGCGCAATAAGAACAATGGGTAGTAACTCTGTATAATTACATTTGTATGTCTCCCCGGAAAATGAAAAAAAGATACGCTACCATGAATGATAAGTAACTTATCAACTTTACATAGGTAGTTCAGAGCAATTCTATAAGTTGCGACAATTGGCAATTCTAAGGAAAAATCACTTTGTAAATGAGATTTAAATAAGATTCACGAGATTCCAAGAGTTCAACCCTAAAATGTTACATAGAAATCCATTTGACATTTTTGATATCTTTCCTAATTTGGCACGATTGTAAGTACCTAATTATTTCTAATTTCAAATATTTAGCAATATCTATTCCTATTGAAACTTTTTCGTCAATGTCCCTAGTTCGTTTTAATTTTAAATCAATTTAATTAATGATATAGATAAAGTTCATCAGCATACACAAAGACAACAACAAAAACAGCGTCCTGTCAACGGAATATGAATTCTTATTGAAATTCGATTAAACGGTAGCACAACATTAACAAACGAAAATGAATTTACATAGAAACCATGATAAAAAAATTCAAGGAAAAACGACCAGTTGTTCCGGATGGTAAAGCGCCTTCTGCTTCTTCGAAAACCGCATTGTAAATCTTGGCCGATCCAAATAGGTAATGTCTTATTCTTGTATAAGAAAAAGGTAAACAACAAGGAAACCACTAGGAATAATTCTTAATGATATTATTATAACGACCATTAAACTTCCCAATAATCTTCTTCATTATGCATCTCTGGAAATGCTCCATTAAGGGATTAATTGTCAACTGTATATATCTTGCATGAATAGATTTGTAACAAGCCTTTGAATATCAAACTAACACTATATGTTTTGTTAATGTTATTTTATTATTAATTAGGGGTCACTGATAAGTTTTTGGTACCTTTTTATATCAATATTGAGTAAGAAATGTAGTACGTTACACGCCAAAGATATCAATAGATACGATGTTTTTGTGATGCTTTCTACACATTGGATATAGAACCACAGACCAGAAATAATCGAATCATCCACATCAAGTGTTTAAAATCACATCTTCACGAGAGACTTGTTAAATGCCGACACATATCAAAGACTCTGGAAGGACTATCGACCATGGGTATATAATCTAAATCACCAATACAAGAAAGCACTTCATTAAATGCCACAAGAATTGCAGAAAGGAATGTTTAGTACGGCATGGATAATTTCTATCGTTAGACTTACTTATTGGATATGACAACAAAGAGGGGAGTTAAAAGGTAGGTTTATCACCATACATACTCAATGTAGTAAATTTTATAATTCAAATAAAACCATTTTGATGATGAATTGATGAAACAGGTAACACATTGACCTCTTTGTCGAAAACATTCAATATACATAATCCTCAGCTATGTGAAAGGATACATTATCTCGCAGACCGAGGGCGTGTTTATATCAACGATAACCACAATTTTTTTTATTAATATCTTATCTCAGAACAAACGGCGAGTGTTCTCAGGATAAGAGTTATTTTAAGTTAAAAGGTTAGCTATTTCTCTGCCACTTACATTGTATATATTGGTTATAGTGATTGTAAAATACTTAACAATCGTTCCTTATGCCCTCCACTTTTACAATCCGATGTAAGCTTGGATTCTGGTGGATTATCATAGATAGATATCGGAGTTGTGCCACTCTCACCTGGTATTCAGCTCTGTTGACTTGCTACTTAACGTTACATTGTCAGCGTAAGGGACAAATATTGATCAAATTTTAATCTTAAGTAAAGATTGTCATTTTCACGTCCGGTTTTATAGATCTGTACGCTTTTATCGGAAACTGAACGAGAAAGAGGGTTTGGCAAGACTACGCTGACAACTCAAAGACTGATGACACCAAAATGTTTGTGAGCAGACAACCACTAGGTAAGTTTCTTTTATAAATACTATTTACATTGAGAACAGAAAATATAGACATTCATTTGTATATTTTTAAAAAATTGCTCCTATCTTAAATTTGAATAATGTATACTTTACGTTCAAAAAGTATTCTTCCGAATCAGGCTCAAGGACAAGCACTTGTCCAAATAAGCAGATATTGCATCGTGTTCAATGACTAGTGCATATCTTTCTTCCTTATTTTAGAGGCAGAAAAAAATCTATAAATATAGGATTCTGTTTAAATATGACAATTCTAACTCTGAATTCTTACGAAGTAAATCTGCGACCAGGGAAAAAATCGTAAAATTCAATACAAAAACACATACACTGCTAACCCTTGGAAATTGCTTAATTTTGCGAAATTTTCAAAAATTCGAACTTATTCCGAGACTAATTACAAATAGTAGATCATGTAAGTACGTATCGTTGTGATCCAACCAATAGAATTTCTTTTCAGGACAATAACTAGAATTTGTTAAATTTTACATGGAATCGGAATGAGAAATATAACGCTAACGGACCTTAAATGTAACCAATATACATGGAAAGAGGTTCTTTTATATGTCAACTGTTCCACGCACCCCTGCGATTGGCATGGATAAAGATAATGCAGCTCTAAACGTGACTATACAAATGAATAGGAATATATATTAATTGCGTCAACACACTAATATATATTTATCCTTTTTATATTTTTATAGTTCCTAGCATGATTTATATACGACATTTACAAAAAAAAGTTGACATTTTTAGTTGTTGTGGTCATCAGCCCCTGACATAAATATATCATCTATCAAAGGGTATTGGAGACAGATGGTCCTGTTTGTTCACAATGTAAACTAATCGTGTTTCTCTGTTATTAACGTTAGCCTTATTAAATATAAATAACAAACAACAGATCGAGCGTTATCACTATACGTCAATACTATTCAGGAGTGATCTGTGTACTGGTATCAACCAATCGATGACGAGAAGACAGTCCAACATTCCTCCATGATAACCGAATCGTGGGTTCGCTAATCTATTTCAAATGTCGTGTGTTTGACGCTGAGCCATTTCAGGTATTTAGCTGATATTATCAAGATTTCTGCATGAAACATTGGAGTAACTGTGGATGTGAATTATTTTTCAGGGTGAACTCCAGGATTCAGGTAAACTCCATGGTACAAGGCTTTGAGTTATTATTCAGGTGAACTCAAGAATTCAGGTAAACTTCTGGGAACAAGGGAGTGGCTGAGGATTATTATAAAGGTAAACTCGAGGATTCAGGTAAATTCCAGAAAACAAAGGAGTGGCTGTGGGTGGTTATGCTGGTCAACGTAATCAATGTAAAGAAGTTAAAGTGGATTTAATGGATCAACAATGGAAGTGTTTACACCTTTTTCAAAAAGAGTAAAACTATAAAAAAAAAATGCCTTAACTTGTGTTGAAAATATAAAGATATTGAAGAAAAATGACACATTCAAATTTTGTTATTATAAGAAACTTTACAATAACTTAACAGTACGTTATGCTGATATTAGGATTCTAAACGCTTTAAAATGAGTTTGATTCCTGAAATAGGACACCTTTATCACGACTTCAGTATCTCCAACGCCTACACTGCCCTCGACGCACGTGAACAGTTACGAACACGTCAGCTCAATGCACGGGAGGATAAACATCTTGGAAAGTATACGGAGGTTCTAGATAAAGCTAAGGACATATGTAAACGAAGGCGAGAATGGGAGGAAGACACTTTGCGGAGGCAGCTGAGAGTTCTTCAGATGAAAACTCCCTCGTTAGACAGGGGTTTAAGACAAGAGACTGAGAGATTACGGCGATACGAGACGTCTATGACGTCACGGAACAACACAGCTGGACGAGGAATGCAGTCACGGATGACAAGTGTTTCTGAGAAAGCAACTTTGTATAGTCATCAGTGGCCTTCACATACCATGATGTCATCACCTCAATCGTCTTTGAGTCGACGTGGAGTCGAGTCTCGTAGGACCTTCACGAGAAGTACGGATTCTAGTTCTGGTAGTAACACACGCTCTGATCAGAATACAGAAAGTCAGGTGAATTTCATGCGACGAGCAGAACGCGTAACGAAAGAACTTCACAAACTCTACCGGCGACATGGAGAACGCAAATCGTCAAATCAACATCTAACGGACCTTCTCAAAGATAATAACAGGGAATTACTAATGAAAGCTAGAATATTTTTTAAAGACGACGAGGCTACTGCCGTACTAGAATCCATTCTTTCTGGTGATCATTCTAAACGGAAAAACGGTGTTCAGTTTCGAAAGGATAATGGGCTTTATCCTGATAATGAGTACACCGACATGCTAACAACAGTCAACAATGACACTACAACTGGCTTGGACAGGGATTCATCAAGAGATCCGACTTTGATGCCGTTGCTAAATGATGTCTCGGACACTGAGTCAGGACCAGCATCATCAACAATCGCGAACGCTTCTGATAACGAATCTCTTATCAATCGTGGTCGTACTAAATGGACCGAAATATTCAAAACACCAGAACTCTGGAAAATGTACACAGATAGAAATACAAGCAAAAAGAAACAGGACGCAGTATCGTCACTTGTTACAATAACCGCAAGATACAGAAGAACGATGGTCAGGTGAATGTTTGAATGATATATATATATCCAGGCAAAAATATTTCATTGGATAAAAATCAATTCGATGTTTACGTTAATAGTAAATTAATCACTGTTTAATTTTACAGTCAGCAGAATACATTAATTTATGATGGTCGTCAGAATGTTTGTCTATTATAGCTACTGATACTCTAATATTTTATGTTTTTGTACTCACTGGGGGGGGGGGGGGGGCATTTGAATATTGATATAAATGTTGATGATCATGTGAATATTGCACAAAATTGTTGGATGCAAATCTTCGCAATGTAATGCGATTGTTAATTCACGCATGGGTGTATTTTTGTAATCAAGGGTAAATACCCGGATACATTTTCGAGTTCTTCATCTAATTTATAAATAGTTACACGTTTTAAAATTCGAAATAAAAACATAAAAACATGACCGTATGTGTAACACTGGAGATTAGTCCTATTTGTTTTTCATACATTTTCACTCAAATACTCAAGCCTACGCTTACTTCGCGGATTAAAAGGTGTGAAGTGAATATTCAAATATCTCACCTGGGTCCTGGTTTAACTGGTAAGTTCGCAGGTGGCAAATGAAATCACCTTACACATATATCCAATGTCCCTGGTCCTGCTTGTGTCCGTGTTGATATAGATATAATGAAAATGATTTGGTGAGAATGTCAATTCCACTTTAATTTACAATGTTTGTTTTACGTGCCAGTAGTAAAAAACACCACTATTTTTACTAAATGAAAAAAATAGAATCAGATGGTTGTTATATGCACTATATCTACATATAATTATACTGTATTATAACCATTGTTCTCTAATGGCTAAATTTGATAAATAATCCCAAGTTTCCTCTCTTTACTTGTATACGTTTATTTATACTTTTTTGTCTTTAGAATAATAATATTTCTGGAATACTAAGTTCAATCATTGGTCTGTCGATTTTGCTTTCTCTATGTTTATAATTATTTTTTGTTTGTGTTTTAGAATTTTGATTTTATAACGAGTACATTCATTTAAAACTCGTAACTCGATTACTGTGAAATTTAGATTTTGTCTTTAAAAATAAAATTTCTGAAGACTACCTAATACATTCTTTTATCAGTAAATATATATGGTAGGTAAAACTTAAATTTTAGCATGTATGATATTTTCTTGGGGATAAATCAAAGTTGTTTAGAATTTATCAGAAGGTAGCACACTTTTGCAGTACTCGAATATATATATAAAGCATTTGGTTCTTGTTTGTAAATAGCTATGATAAAAATGCAAATATAATCATCCTATACCGAGATTATCGTTAAAATACATACATTTGTACATTTGATAGCAGTAAAGGTAAATTCTTTACATGTGTAGGAGACTGTGGATTTTAAAACAATTAAACATGTTTGTCTATTAATACATATAAATATAGTCAAACATATGAGCGCTGAAAGATGTTTAATTATGACTGATAACTAAAGTAATGAAAATAAAATATCCTTATTTAAGAAGACCGTGAAATTGAACGGTATGGTACTTGTAGTTGAAATTATTTTTGTTTCTTCGAGAATATGTGTTAGATAATATTTTCACATAATTAGATAATTCGAGATAGAATTTAAAGATGTTGAAAGAACAAAAAATGTGTTGTTATGTTTTATCAACCTGGTGTGAAAATATAGAGATCGCATTTGATTGTTTCGGTATCAGATCTCTAAGCATTACCTAAGCGGACACAGAACTTGTTTTGTCTCAATAGCAAAAACAACAAATAATCTTAATTCAAACTCATATTCGATGAAACTAATGAAAAAATAAACAGGAAACAGATTCACACAAACGTAATGTTGAGTAAAATTTTTAAACTACATGTAAGTATCGTTTTCTCATATGTAACCTTGCGGCTTATTTCCAACATTTACTCCCAGACGTTTCTAACTTAGGCATAACACTTTTTATGTTCGTCCTATTGGCCAAAGTTATAACATTTAATGATGTTGTCTTATCCAAGAACCTCCAGAAATATATTTTTGAAACTTGTTCCACTATGGCTTCAAAATACGGTCGTCATATTAATTCCATTTGGAAATGTTATTTTAATATTGCGATATGAAGTTGGACGTGTTTGTTGCTCGTCAGTTCGACTGTTGTTTACCGTGTTCTCATTTGGGAGCATTATCTAGTTGGATGACCAAGATTTACAAGGTGAATGTTGTCGATGAAGCAGGCGATGCTAACTCATCCGGAACATCTGGTCGTATCTTCCTGGTGCTTTTTAAGGGGTCTCCATGTAAATCTTTCTTTTTGTTAATATTTTGCCTTAATTGTGTTGAATTTGACTCTCGACTATTATTCTGTTGACATTTTCTTATTGTTTCTGAAATACGTCAAAAAAGCGCTTATATTCATCAAATAGATTTTCATTGAATACATACTTATTGGTATCTTTTGTAACATTAGTATATGTGCTTAACACAAGATAACAACAGTCCCAATGTGATAGATTACACTCTCATTTAAACGTGATTCAGTTATTATATCTGTTTTTTTATTATTATTATCTAAGTTTCGATGGAAACGAGATATTTGATGTATTGCAAAACTTTTACAATAACTATACACTATACATACCGAGTTTTACATTTTGAATCACGTGACGTCCAATTTAGCGACACCATTTAAGTCATATTGATCGGATATCTAATTTATCGAAAGTGGTCTACAAGTTGTCTGTATCCACACTTAAGAAAATTTACAATCGTAAATACGACCTGATTTCTATCAACGGGCCATACATGACCGATACCTAGTGTGCCTTGAATGAGTGTCTGGTTTGGCAAGTGACATTCTTATTCACTTAAGACATATTAATTCTTTATGTTTCATGTAGGTCTATTGTCGAATTTTTTTAAAATTTATTTATTTAGTATTGTACTTTGCGTATCAAAACGTCCATTGTGTGTTATAATAGCAATCAGGTTTTTTTTTAGATAAGCATCAATCGGAAATTGATACAAGGGCAAACTGTGAGTTAATGAGAATTCTGTGGCCTCGATATTATTATTGAGACAAAACAAAAACCAAAGAGTGTCATTTAAGTATTTCATTTGTAGTTAGGGTTTGTAGCTATATATATAATCTTTCTACTAACGCTTGATAAGACTTGGTTTAGATTCAACTAATGATGATGTTCTTTCAAGTCTTAGTTATATCTAAATGCTCGAGATATTTACTTAGATTTTGTACTTGTTACCAGCACCATATTCAGTAATTAACATTTGTTTAATGCATGACCATATGTTCTTTTGCTGAAATTAAATTATTGTTTTTTAATCATTGATAATATCTATATGTAATATTCTTTCATTGTAGGATAAAAATAAGGTATTGATATGAGGCTCAGAAGGGTTTAAGCTCCATTTCAATGGCACGCGTGCATTTTTGTATGATATGGTATACATCAATATTAAGCCTCTAATAAATGAAATTTGCAAAACGACAATTATATAATATATGCCGTTTTAAATAATAATAATGTGTTGATGCTTATATCATAAACGAAATAGGAGTACCTATGGCAAACCGACGTTGTTGGGAAGGTGGACTCATATCCTTTCACGTCCGATCCGGGAATTGAACTCACAGTCCTGTCGGTATACATCCATTGTGTTACATCACTAGATTACCCCAATTTGCTGTTTAGCAATAATCGTAAAACGGATATTGTCGTGAAATTATTGTTGAATGCCCCTTTTGTATCATTCATGCCGAAATACTGACAAAAAGCAAGGCAATGGTTTTTGTACGTTTCATAATGAATTATCAATTAACGTTTAATGGTACAACAGTATGTGATGCAAATAAATTCGTCATCCCTTTTTAGTATAAATTACCGTACTAGTTAAAATTGACTCGCTATTCCGTCATGTTTTCAGACCCGATGCTATTACGTATGATGAAAGTTTTTGGACTTGCACTTTATCAACTGACCTATCCGAGAAATATAGTGACCACAATGGATATCGGCTTCAAGTTGCCTGCTTTCAAAATTATTTTATTTTTTATTATAATTGACACACGTCGTTGTTTGGCCATTTCCTGTTCCATTCATGACTACCTTCTCTATATAACAACTGTGTGTAGGTATGTTTTGTCATGTAAATACTTTAAAAGTTACATGGTAAACACGAACAATGAAAAATCTACCTTTTTAGCATAGATACAATGTTTAATGTAGAAAGTACAATCGTTCAACACATAGTCAGATACATGAAGTAAAACATTCGCGTTATCACCACAGACTCCAATATATAACCCTAGTTTGTGTTTTTACTACAAAGAAGAAACAAGACATCTACATCCAAATATTGACCACAGAGTGCAATAGAATGACACCGCTTTATATTTTATAAATTTCCCAATAATTGACCTTGCAGACCTAATTTACATAAATAGGCAGGATGAAATAATGTATAGTTTGTATTTAGTCAGTTGTGGTAAATAGATATTCCAGATGGTTATATAATCATATTTCGTATTGTATTAAACCTCTGGTGCTTGTCTTAATGATTGAAGTGGTCTTAGAGAGTATCCGTGACGTTTATTAAACTCAATTGTTCTCGCTTTGGCCATCTCAACATTACCTGGTTCATCACATAAATTCTCCTCGGCATCTTCCTGACATGGAAAAGACGTTCAATTTGCGGCCTTCAGCTTTAATGTCAAAAAAAAAACATTAGTTGAAATGGCAGGAAACTTACCCATAGTCATTGTCATGGGATAAACTAGAGTATTTTTGGCTGCAGCAACAGCTCAGTGTCATACCAAGTTCTATGAACTTATAAATTCAATTAAAACATAGTTTTTTTTAAATGATCATTATTGATTGAAATCAATATATCTATTCAATATATTCATGGAATATTGTCTAAGCAAAATACAACATATATAGCAAGAATTCTATTGTTATTTGCTTTTCGCTGTATAGAAAATAAAGCCTTCACATTCGCATTTTCTAGGT